CACAGTGAAAAACAAACTCATGAAATGGGAACAATATTTGTAAATCAAATATATAATAAGAAATTAATATCCAGACTATATAAAGAACTCCTATGACTCAATAACAAAATAAACCAACCAATTTAAAAATGGCCAAAGGACTTAAACAGACATTTCTCCACAGAAAATATACAGAAAGCCAATAAGCACATGAAAATACACTGGACACCTCAGTAATCACTAGGGAAAAGCAAATCAAAAACCACAAGACACCACTTCAAACTCATTAGGATGGTTATTATCAAAAAACAGTAATAAAATAAAACAATATCAACCTCCAAAAATAAATAAGCATAGATAAGAATACAGAGAAACTGGAACTCTTGTGCATGGCTGGTAGGAATGTAAAAATGGTACTGCCATACAGTACCTCAAAAAATTAAAGAACTACCATACAATCAAGCAATTCTGCTTGAGTGTATATCCAAAAAACTGAAAGCAAGGACTTGAACAAATATTTGTATACCCAAGTTCATAGCAGTATTAGTCACAATAGCCAAAAAGTGAGAACAATCCAAATGTCAACACTGACAGATAAATGGATAAACAAAATTAGATACATACAATGGAATGTCATTTAGCCTTAAAAAGAAATAAAATTCTAATGCATACTACAACATGGATGAGCACTGAAAACATGCTAAATGAAATAAGCTAGACATAAAAGGACAAATACCCTACCATTCCACTAATATGAGGTACCTAGAGTAATCGAATTCACAGACAGAAAGTAGAAAGGTGGTTACCAGAAGCTAGAAGTAGACAGGAATGAGGGGTTTTAATTGGTTAATGGGTACACAGTTTCAACTTGGAATGATAAAAAGTTCTCAAGATGAATAGCAGTGATGGTTGCACAATGTTGTGAAGGTAGTCAATGTCACTGAATTATAAACTTAAAAAATAGTTAAAATGATAAATTTGATATATACTTTACCAAATTGTTTTTAAAACAAACAAAAAACCCACAAAATATGCTTAAAAGAATAAAGTCCAATTATAAATTGTAGTAGACTCATTGAGGAATATCTGCTCAGAGTGTGAGGTCCCTTTTCTCAGAAGTATCTATGCTCACAAGGGACAAATATATGAACTAAGTTTACCCAGTCAGATTTCTCTCCCTGGAAGTTTGAAATCCATACTGAGATACGCTGAACAAACTGAACTGCAGTTATATGTGGGCTTGCTAGCTATGAGGATGGCTATGTACACAAAGAGTCAGAGAGTTTATTATGTACAGATACAGAAAGGGACAAGTAACCATGTGGCACCAGACAGAAACAGAGAAAAGCTTCTTTGACTCCTAATAGTTTTCCAATTTCTGTGTTGTTTTAAAGGCTAAGTTATACTTCTCAGTCTTGGGTCTTATAAAATATTCCTATAGCACTATAATGTATTTCTTTTTCTTATTTAAGCAGACTTGAGTGAGTTTCTGCTACCTAAAATACAAAAAGCCTAGGCTAAAATAAATATTTTAATCTCAATTAAGGAAAAAAGAAAAATTCCATTCACACCCAAATGGAATCACAGTAAGTAAAACTTTGACCTGGAAATACAATATTCATTTTCTTTATAGTCACAGACAAAATTGGAATACATAGGTGCCAATCAATAACATTACAAAAAAGCAAGATATTTATCAATTAAAAACTTAAATTAACACCAGTTTTCCACGCATCATTCTTTAGAATGCTTTCTTGACTGAAAATTAAGCTGGTTCAAAAATGAACAGATCGCACAAAAAGAGAGATTTGTAAGTAAATTCTGTTAAAAATTGGAAGAAGAATTAGGGGGATCATGAAAATCTTATCTCCACAGATTCACTAAACACATTCTAAAATGTTTGGCATGCTGAGCCAGTCTTTATATGCGTCACTGAATCAAGTGTACATTCTTCTAGCTGGCAATAAGATGAATGAAGACAATTATCATGATTAATTTTAATGTGTCAACTTGACTGAGCCATGGGGTGCCCAGATATTTGGTTAAACACTCTGGGTGCGTCTGTGGGGGTATTTCTAGAATGAGATTAACATCTGAATCATTAGCCTGCATAAAGCAGATTGCCAGCTCTAACGTGGGTAGGCCTCATCCAATTCACTGAAGGTCTGAATAAAACAAAAAGGTAGAGTAAGAGAGAAAGCACTCTCAGCTTACTGACAACAGATCCTGGGACTCTATAGGCTCTATAACTGTCTGACCTAATTTCTTATAATAAATCACTTTATATACACTATATATAACCTACTAACATACTAATAAATACTAATAACTAATATACTAAATCTCTTTACACATATATGTAACACACAAAGAGATTTATTACATAAATTATAAACAGATATAGATACAGATTCCATTGGCTCTGTTTCTATGGAAAACCCAGAATATAGCAAATAAAATTTTAATCAAAACAGAGAAAAAGAGTTAGACAGATTACAAAATCTTTAAAAGTATTCTTCTATATAGGAAAATGCCCTTTTTTTCATTTATTTATCTGATATCTTGATTATTCATTTATTTGTCTGATGACATCCATGTGAATGTAGTTGAAATGTTTTATCACAGAATTGCAATTAGTGACAATTCAAAGAATGTGCATTGATCTCTTTTAATATCAAAGTCTATAATGATCTCATATCTTCTGGCACAAGCGAACAATTCTTTTATACATCTCTCTGAGGTTTAATAAAAGCACTATCTTTCTTCATTTAAAACTGGCAGAATTATTTTTATAGTGGCAGAAAGATGTGGGTAAGGTAGATGGTCCACAACATCATTTGTGTAACTTATGGGTCCATGAACTAAAAGAATAAATACAATGATATAACTAGAGGCATTTTCTCAAGATCTAGGTTCTAGCTTTGGCTCTGCCATATTAAGTGTGGAACACTGAGAAAACCACAACCTCTTAGAGTCTTAGTTACTTCATCTGTAAAATGAGGAAAATCAATTCTTAGATGACCTCAGAGGTCCAATTCTGCTCTGAAATTCCATTTTTCTAATGTAAGCAATACCTTTTCACTAAGAACAATGTGATTATAGTACAACTTTAATGTCTAATTAACTGATCAAGTGTGAAGACATAATCCAATATGGGTTTCTTCAAAGAAGACGGTATAATGATATAGGCATATAAACTTGCTCTTCTTTTGTTCTATGTGAATAAAAACATATTCCCTGCCCAGCTCCTTCTTTCAAAGGACACGTGTTTTCAAATCTGTTATTAATTTGGTTGTTTGGGGAATCACAGAATAACAGTTACTGGTAATACAGCTAGAAAGAGAAATAGCAATACTGTAAGTTTTAAAAGAAAACATTTACTCTGATTCAATACACTGACTGAGGAAGGTACACTGTAACAGAGACTTAACTACCTGAACCTCCGCCAACACACACACACAAACACAACAGTCAACTTAAGTGTTTTCTGGAACATCATAAATTCTAGAAATACTAATAAATACAAATTCTGTAAAAAGTCAGGAAGGAAATATAGATAAAAAAGTCAACTATGAGAAAATTAATGAAAAAGAAATAGATAACATTATTTATAAATAATCAAGGAGATAAAAGGAGGATACAAACAAATACAAGAACATTCATTTTATTTTGCTAAAACTCAGCAACTGTATTTTCTGTGAGATCTCATCTTATTTGGAGGAGATTAAAAATATTGGAACTTCATGAGAAATTAAAAGGATAAAAATGTTAATACTAACCAAGTACAACTGGAAAGACCAAAAGTATCAAAACCTTGTGAAATTTGGGTGACACCATCATAACAGATGGCAAAAGAGTTTTTACATGAAGGCAAAAATTTAAATAACTATATAACATTTATTTCCAGTTATTTTACATCAAGGCTATCAATTCTTGAAAGAAAGGAACCTAATGCTGAATCTCACCATCCCCCTGCAACCTGCATATAAAAATTGCTCAATGTATTTGCTGAATATAAGTGAATCCCTTACAAAGCCCAAGAATGGGGTAAGGGTGTCGCAGAGATAAAACAATAATCAAACATTACCTTTCCATTATCCTATAACCTTTGCATGCCTCTTTTCTGCTTTGCAAAAGTTTCTTTATATTAAAGTCCCTATTTTCAATCAGACTATAAACAATTATACTGAATATAGCTACAAGAATTTAGAATCAAGTAAACTCAATGCTCCCTTCTTTCTTCAAAGAAGCCCTTTGGGGAAAACATCCTTTTACTTACTTTCAACACTTACTTTCTTATCTATTACAGCTATTAAATTAAGGAATATTTTCTGATACTAATAACTTATTTTTGGGTAATTACGCTTCTTTCTGCAGTTTTAATGGAGTTTTTTAGTTTGAATATTTTATGTCTACCTTGATTTACAATTATTATTATACTGTGTAATAAATTAATAGTGTTAAAGTTTTTAAAGATAGACAATGTGTTGGGTTTGCAGGGAGTTGGGGGGGAAAGTGTCTGAAATAATTTATTCAAAGATGCTGACCCAGCAGTCATCACAGCCCTTTCAAATTTAATACATCCCCTTTATATAAAAAATACTTTACACTGACCCCCTCTAAGTACCTGAAAGAAAACACAAAGGTAATATAATCAATCTACACATCTATTTTTTAAAATCAATATACTAATACAAAGAAGAAATTTTTAAAAAGAAATTTATGATAAAAATATGTATTTTAGTATGTAAGTCTTAGACATGATTAAGACATAATGAACTAACCAGATGCTAATTACCTACACATAAAGTCACAGTGAATATGACAATTACAAATGCCCACAGACTAGTATATTGTATTGGTGATTTAATTATCACGAACATCATTTGGTTTCTGAAATGGTGCACTACCGGCCAAGTTCAGAACAATTTAAAGTATAAGCTTCCCAGTTACATTCCTAAAGAATTTAGTACATGTTAAAGCTGTGCAAAATATACTTTATATTTCAATTACGTTTTAGATCACTTAATTATAAAGGTCTTTCACCCACACAGATATCCAACAGGAAAGTCAGAAGTCCTGCAGAACACAGAACTAGTCTTTGTTTACAAAGACTGTTCCACAAACTACAGGACTACTACCTACCCTGGCCTCACTCACTAAATGCCCTTAAATCATTCTAGTAACCAGAAACACTCTCACAAATTTCTAGAATACTTCCTTAAAAGCAGTACTACTACCTCCAATACTACCCCCATTGAGAACCATATCTCTAACCAAGAACAGTCCTGACTGAAATAGCTATGCTACAGAGAAACCAAAGAATATACAAGTATAATAAAGTATTTTGCCAAATCACTGATGATTTTAAATGCTTAATTACTGTTAATAGTTTGCAAGGATTAAAGCAGATAAAGGTGTCTATAATTGGTCCTGAAAAAGATATTTAAATTTAGGTTTGTTTTGAAGCTCAAAGAAATTCTTAAGCAACATGAGTATCTGCTGCCTAACTTGGTAAAAACTGGAGGAGAAAAGTAAGGCAGGCAAACACTGACACTTGTGGCCATTCTGAGATTGCTAATTTGCACTCAGGCTAATGTCTTGCTTTGTAAATTCAAAGAAACATTAAACTGGTTCACAAATTATCTATTGACTTTAGAGGAAAATCATAATCTTTTAATAAACAGTTTTCTTCAAAAAGGAAAAACTATTTACTAACAATAAATAATCAAAATAAACAATTTGTCTAGATGTAATGAAACAAGACTGCATCTGGTTCTAAATCAAAACAGTTAAGAGGGATAAACTCCAAGCAAACATTACTATGCAAAATTGTTTAGTGACCTCAATAAAACTAAAACTATTCTCTAAATAACTGTGTCAAATGAGTTTTCAGAGTGATATGGTGGAAAGCACACCTAACCCAAAACATTAAGACTTCTGTTCAGCATTGGAAAAGATAGCTAGGTCTTGTGGTGAGCACAAGCTGAAATAAATGAATTCAGGAATTCAGTAGCCAATTACTCATACTAAAGCACAAACAGGAATGGAGACCAATGTAGGTAAGACCAGATTTATGGCTCCCTTCTCATATTACTCAAGGATATTTGTTTATTCCCACTAAATGGGAATCACCACCCTAGCTGAAGTGTTCTCCCCCTACCTGTTTCTCTTGCAATCTTTTTATCATGGACATACAGTTGAATTTATATACCTATATAAAAAGATGATATAACTCCACGAGTGACTATTAGTGAGTACTGGAACAGAAAATTTGTATCTGATTCATCATGATGAATCAATCATTCAGAAACAATTAGCTCTCTGAGTAAAATGGTAATTATTTCTATACCCAGTAAAAATTGAGAATTAGGAGGCATTACAAATCCTGTCCTTAAATTCTGGCTACTTAAGGGGTATTCTAGACATGCCCAAGAGAATCCTAAAATTAGCCTGGAGTTCTAGCCATACTATATCTATATCTATAGTAATGGCTACCTCTTTTTCCCCTGGGGATGTGTTGTAAGATTAAAAATAGACTATTCAAGTAACAATTACAAGCCATTTATAACCATAAAACTTAACAAAATAGCTGCCAGTTTGCAGAGTCTGACAAAGAAACCTGTCACATTTAGTGACTTAGTTTAACCATAGAATTCAGATGTTAAAAGAAACCAGACTAAAGGAAGAACTTCTACAAGCTTGCCTGTCATAAGATTTTTACAGTTTCTCTTGACTGGAACATGTAGGTTGCTAGAAAAACTCACTAAAGGAACTTTTATCTCATGCCTGCTCTGTTATTCTGTACTTTTATGTAAAGTTCTTAACCAGCTTAACTTAAACTTAAAAAATAGGTTGCAGTATACTTAGGAGTTTAAAGTAAATTCCAGTTAAGTACACAGGCAGCTTTTGTTAAGCAATTTTTAGAAGGCTCTTGCTGTATAAACACTTGCCCCATAGCAAACATAGGTAAGAAAAACTTACTGGAAACTCAAGAGTTCAAACCAATACTGGAGGGAACCACTAATGAACAGATTACCCATATAACTCTCTTAATAATCAAGATCCATAATAAACCCAGTAAGGCATCAAAAAAATAAAGTCCCATCAAAAGAATTGGCAAAACTAATTGTTTTATCTCTCCCTGGATAAAGGGGTAAGGAATGTGTCAAAATCATCTTTATATCCCCAACATTTAATAAGCTGTGCTTAAATGCAAATGTTGACAGGCAGTAATTGACCAATACATATTTGTTTATAAGGGTGAATAAAGTGAAAATATAAATATGCATTTATATTAATAATTCTATTTATGATTCCTGGGTATGTTATACCAGTGTTATCAAAAAGAAAAATTCCCTCAATTTCTCCAGCAGTGCCATGTACTGTAATGTTTAACAACAGAGGATAATAACTTAATCTTGTTTCAATTCCCAACTTGGCCTCTTTCTCATCACTATTTAGCTGATATTTGAGTTAATTAGTTAACAACTCTACTTAATGGTTCTTCATCTTTTAAATGGGTATTACAATAGTAAAATTATTTTAAGGAAAAAGTCACTTACATAGCAGGTAAGCTCAGGTAGGCTTAGTACACAATCTGATTTTAGGTAAACAATAAATAGTCACTGCTGCTAGCTTCATAGTCAAATCCTATATAAGGAATCACCAATAAATAAATATGGTCTACAAAAATCCATTTGTACTTTTGGAAAATAAGTTATTTTAAGTGGATTCTTAAGCATTACTCTGTTACCTAATTTATCTAACTTAAAAAAAAAAGCTGTGAGCACTGTAGTATGAGTGTATATAGGGACTTAAGCTAAGAAATCTGAGTTTTAGTCCTGTCCTTCAAACTTAACTAGGAAAAGTCAAAGCTCTAGGGCCTTAGTTTCCATTTATAAAATTATCTGTTTTTTCTGTAATATTCATTCTAACATTCCTAAGAAAGTCAAACAGTCTTGGGGTTCCTAAAACTACAAAGCACATTTCATCAGCAAAGCTCAAAAATATAATTAGAACATGGCTAGTGGCCACTGAATTAAAAATAAAAAATATGAGAATAAAGATATCTAGAATATTAGAGAAAATATAAATCTATATTCACTTGAAATAGCAGGCAATATTGGGAGAGACAGATGAGATGAAGAGTATGTACAACTATAAACATAGCTTCAGCTCCAAAACCATAAATTTCTACGAGTTATTTACTGTCCCTAGAGTCTCAGAGGAAAAACTGATAATAATAGCTATTTAAGAAACAGAAGACAGACACACACACACACACACACACACACACACACACACACACACACACACACACACCTGCACCAATGCTCTGCAGGAAAAAAGAAGCAAGGTGCCAAAGTGCCCAGGAAACTAACCTTATTAAAGAAAGATTTCAGAGTATGTCGTGCTTACAAAATCTGCTTCATGGTAAGTTACTAAATCATCTTGAAATATTAGAGTAAGTAAACATAATTAGTAAAATTTCATTACTCACCGAAAAGATTCTACATAAGTGTTCTATATCTATTATATTATTTTGTTGAGTTCTGCTATTAATAGATGTAATTTTAAAGAATAGGAAAAGTAAATAAAAATTAAATGCCAATGATTTAAACTAATCTTTACTCGTTTCAAGAACACCAGAAACCACATAAAAGCAAAAAAAAAAAGGGCTGTATCACATCACACATGAGTAAAGCAATCCACAGCAACTGATTTATATAAACCCCAGAAAACAGGGGAAAGTCTAAATTACAAAGATAAATGATTTATGAGTCTTAACTAGATGTTATTAAAACCAGAGCAATTTGAGGAAAAAAACTTCAGGAGGAGGGGGTGCACTGAAGGGGTTAAATTATATCAACTTATATATAAAAGCTTATATTGCTTATACCCTATAAAAGCATGTAAGAAACATGAAAAACAGCATCTAACAGAAAACATTAAGTCTGTACTTAAGCATAAAGTAAAAAAAGGAAATATGCGGCAAAAAATAAAATAGCCATTCATTTCATAAATATCCCATTTTCATATTATTCACTCATCACTATACTTGTACTGAATGTATATAATTTATCACAGGGAAGCAAAATCTCTACACTTCTCCCTACCTTAGATTTTTAGTCAAAATGAATGCAAACAATCACGTGGGATTCAGCCAAGCAGTGACGTTAAATTCTGCTCTGTCAGAGAGAGCATCTGTCAAGCCCACATTTAAACTGCTGCCTGCCTGTGCAGCAGCGGAGGAACCGTGGATTTCATATTATAGACTAAAACCTCAGCAAAACTGCTCAAAATCCTTCCTGCAGCTGCCAGGCAACAACGAAAGAAAAGAGGTAAATCCTATTCTTTTCCAATACAATCGAAGCACTACAGTCTAGCTCTGGCTGCTTTACATTGCAGCTCAGTGTTATTACTAGAAATATGGATACTGAGAAGAGAACACAGCACTGCATTGTCCAGCCAGGAAAACAGCAGATGTAAAAAGCTTCAATGCATCAACTGTCGGGAAGAGTCAACAGTGCTCCAAATAGAACGGACAACTACAGCTCTTTTGTTTAACAAAAGAGAGAGAAAATGAAAGAAAGGGAAAATTTCGGACGTCTAGGACCCATATGAACAAGGAGGGTAACTGGAAGACAAGCAGACAGATGGACACTTTGGATACTGTGAAAAGCAATCGCAGGAGGCAGACTGTTGGGGGATGTGCGCATGTTCGATAGCATCTTTTTTGCTGAAGTGATGGCGTGCCAAAAGTATTTTCAGTGGGCATAATCCTCTGCACATAAATGGCCTGACCAAGAAAGGTATGTCGATATCTTGTGTATGATATTCATTTAAATGTGTTACCTTTTTATAGCCCTGGAGGCACTGAAATCTGATAAACAAGTTTATACAGTTCACTGCCCTTGAAAGTATGAAAGGGTTTCTTAATATATAATTTTAAAAATTGTCATTGTTCAGAAGACAAGCTGTCACTGCTTTTATTCAGCTAAATATGTACCTTGGAGTAATTCCGTATTATAGACATATAAGAGGGAAAAGGTAAATAATAATAGTATGTGCTTAAACGATTCTCTGAAAAATTAAACTTAAAAAAAAAAATCTGTAGCCCCCCAATAGAAAACATAGCAAACCTTTATCAAATTAAGTCATTCAGAATCCTTATCTAGTAAATTAAAGTGCTCTCTTAAAAATGGCTATCAAAAGAGACAATGCAGTGAAATTACATTAAATAGTATCTAGGATAATCTTAATATTGAGTTTTTCCCAAAGTCTTTTTAAAACAAAATCTTAATATAAAACAGCTTTTAGCAACAAAACCTCCAATATCTCCCTAAATAAAGATAATGAATACAACCTCATAGTATCAACAAATTTTAAGTATTCCTGAGCTATAAGAAGATACTAAAAGGAAAGCCTTAGCATAGGATCACATAAGGTAGTGTAAGTTTATGCATAACCACAATAGAGTCACATGTTATTACAGTGTCCATGAATACAACTTTCAACAAAGAGATATCAATAGTTGCTAAAAATTCCACTATCTGATATACTGAGGTTTTATTTTAGGTAATAGACTGATCTAAAAGACTATACCTAAGGCTGTTCCTGGTGATCATTTTAAAAGTGAAATTCAAAAATATAATATGAAAATACTTTGAAATATAAATATCCACAAACAGTAATACAAGGTCAAAAAAATTAAATATAAATCTAGCTAATGTACTTCCAGGCTACATTAATATGCAGTCTAACTGCTGCCACTATACGTGTGTGCAGGACAGAGATAAATCAAATAAACTATTTTAGCAACAACCATAGTTAGAATAGCAACTCAGAGCTCAAGAAATCAAAGATATTTCTAAAATTTTACAAACCTATCAAAGATCCTGATTTTTCCTCAGTTTCACACCAGAATTCAACAGCTTATTATTTAATAATCACAAAAGGCAAACATTTTTAAGACATACGTAAGCACTGCATTCCGAAATCAAGATGGAACAAGTTTACCAGGCCCTATTACATCTCAACATCAGCTCTCACTCATAACCATGAATTTTTATTCTAATCTAAACACTAAAATCAAATAGTATTGGAAATATATGGTTGTAAAAAATCTCAAGTACCTCTTGATACCTTTATCTCTCAATGGTAAAGTCATCAGTTCAGTAGTTTTATAAACTAGACATCTCAAAACTAAAGTGTATAAGTTTCTCTATTAAAGCATCACTTAAATCTAGGACTGTTTGTTCCAATAGACTAAAGATATCAACTTTTTAAAAGCCAAATGATAAAAACTGTAGTTATGTATAATGAACAGCATTTTACAGTGACAATATCTCCATGAACTTTAGATGTAAATATACATTAATAACTTGAAAATATTATCAAAAAAGAATAAGACAGAATCAAAACTATTTCTATTCTGAAAATGTAAGAAGTGCAAAAGTATTTTGCATACCAAAATATTTTAACTTTCTTTCTTGTTCTGTTCTCACTTTTCAAGAATTAAAATAAAATAGGCAATAACTAGAGAATAATTTTATCATTTAATAAAAGGAAAAAGTTATTTCAATTTTTTTCTTTTTAACAGAAAAATTATAATACCTGAGAAACTTTTAATAAAGAATTTTTAAAAGCTAGAAACACAGACTTCATTTAGCCTCAACAGCTTAATATTTACAAATGTACAAATATCACGAAGTTTAATTAAGATGCATATTTACCACACAATGTTATAAAATACTAGGACCAAAATTACGTATGTTAGATTACAATATATAATAATTTGCTGTTTTCTGTAACAATGAAATACTTTAGAGACATCACGTCAGATATACTGTTTTCATAAAAATAATTATGATTCTTTTCCTCCATTCATTTTAGTCCTTTATTCAGTCATTCAAACATCTAACCTTATATTTATTGCTTTTTAAACCATCAAATTTACACTTTCAAAAAATCTAAATGATTGGACTTCAACCAGATTCCAAGCATTATTATATCAACAGAAAGCTAATACATTTATCTCTGTAATACTTAGACCAGATAGATAATCAAATAAATTTAAAAAGCAGCTTTTCTTTCTTTTAAATTTACACACATAACTCTTATATCTACTGGTCTCTTTATGAGGTAGAGGGGGAGTCATTACTATTTATCTAATATACCATTCAGAAATAAAAGCTTAAAAATAGTTCCCTGGTCTAAACAGAACGGGTAACTATTTACAAGTACAAGAAGGAAAAAATTAGTTTCTAAATCAGAATGCTCAGCTGTATTATTTGCAGCTTAGCTCATAGAAAAACTATGTTTTGTTGGTACAGTGAATAGCCTTGGTCTTCATTATAGTAATGTGAGATTAAAATTCATGTAAATAAACTCTAATAAATAGCAAAATAGATGTTTTTTAAATCCCAAACTTAAAAACACTCAATTCATATCTCTCAAAATGATTAAATGATTTTTTACATTTGAGAAATATTATAACTTCTAAAAGTACTATGTAATCTCAGAAACTAGAAATTTTTAAACGCTGGTATCTATACTATAACACGTTAGAAATTCGTTCAAATTCCCACCCACTTGCTCCTCCTAGTGGCTGCTACTAGAATAGTACTTTCATTCATTTATGCCTAACACTTTCAATTAGTATTTTCCAAGTACTTAACACTATTTATGTGAGTTTTACTCTGTAACTACTCAGTTACATGAAAATTTCCATGTTAATTAAATATTATGTCAGAGTTAAACAAATTTTTTTAACCATGAATCTCTCAATATCACATGATACTGAATGTGATTATTAAATAATAAGCTGTTGAATTCTGGTGTGAAACTGAGGAAAAATCAGGATCTTTGATAGGTTTGTAAAATTTTAGAAATATCTTTGATTTCTTGAGCCCTGAGTTGCTATTCTAACTATGGTTGTTGCTAAAATAGTTTATTTGATTTATCTCTGTCCTGCACACACATATAGTGGCAGCAGTTGGACTACATATTAATGTAGCCTGGTGGTACATTAGCTAGATTTATATTTAATTTTTTGACCTTGTATTGCTGTTTGTGGATATTTATATTTCAAAGTATTTTCATATTATATTTTTGAATTTCACTTTTAAAATGATCACCAGGAACAGCCTTAGATATAGTCTTTTAGATCAGTCTATTACCTAAAATAAAAGCTAAATGAACACATGTATATACATATATACTATAATTTCAAATAAGCAAATGATTCTGCATTAAAATTATTTAATTAGTTTTATTTTGCTTAAAGACATAATTTTCATAATAAAAAGTTGAAAAAAATAAAAATTACACATTCATTAGTCCCTCTTCCCAAAATGCTTTTTTCTCTTAATGGAATTCAAACTACAGCTCTTTGCCCACCTCTACACCCCTCATACCTTGGTCCAGAAAAACTAAGAACAAACAGAAAAAAGTAAGAACAAACATATACAACTTTGTGCTGTGCACAGAAAACCTTGTTGCAAGACAACGTAACCAGTTCTTCATATGTGGCATCATGAATCTCCCATATTGACATCTTATAACCTTTTTTAAAATCTTGAGCACTATTGTGCTATTTTAGAAGTCCTAAAAATTTAACAAATTCTTAGAAGACAGCATAACTCAAGAACTTAAAAATATATTTCAAATAAATGTCAAAAGTTAAGTACTTAGATATATCAGTAGCTATTACCTATATTTTGTAGGAAACCTGGAAAGACTGTTCAAGGTAGTTCTTGGCTTAATTCTAACACAGAGATAAGTGATAATGTTCTGGCAAAGCCATAGATATAGATAATTACATGCTTTATTTTGTAATCAATTTTAAGTCTAAGTAAGAACAGTGATCTCTTGAATACTTCATACATGCATAAGGTTAAAATCAGAGAGGAGTACTTTAAAATGTTCATCATTTCTTATTGTCTAAAAATCCTACACTGAAGTTACTGGACCCTGAAAATTAATTTTGACAGGTACATCTTCTCATTGACTTTCTCAACACAGTAGGAGCCAGTGGAAACATGCCAAGCAGTGCACTGTGACTAACAGAACTCTGCCACAACCAACCTTGCACCGTCTGTCCCACAACTGATACATGACCATTTTACAAAAAAGGCCACTGACTGGGCACCATACCATCAATGGTATGTCAAATCAATTTTAATTAATGCCAATAAAATTTCCATCTGCTCTCCAGGCCTTCCTACGTGGCCTTTTTCAGGAATCCAGAAACATTTTTCTTCTCTACATGCATACAACTTTTAAATCTTTAACTTGGGTCAAAAGTATAAATAACTGGAAGTACTAAGACATTGAAATAAGTAGAAGAAAATTAATCCAACATATCTCTTTTAAATGATCCTTTTGCAACAAAGGTATATTGTTAAAGAAATTAATCCTGTTCTCAGTGATGTTGTTATGCTGCCACAATGGGAAACAAATTATAAGTTTTGTTCCTGGGTTATCATATTTCCACAGCTTAAGAAATTTGTATTTGCCTTAATTTTATTAGCATCCAAAGTCCCTTTTAGGTAGTTATGTAAGATTTAGCATTTTGTAAACTTTTATGCTTCATCTTTATAGCATGACTGCGAGGGACACGACGTGATCAAATTAGAAAATGATTGCCAAAGAACAGTATTGATTCAGAAGAAGATAACATTTTCAGTCACCAATATCTCATATACCACTACCAGACATTTACAACATGCTTCAGTGCAGGAGAAGACACTGCTGCTTTGCAAAGATGACCTGGAATGCCAAAAGGTCTCTGTTCCGTACCCATCTTATCGGAGTACTTTCTTTAGTGCTTCTTTTTGCTGTGTTTTTGTTTTTTAATCATCATGACTGGCTGCCAGGCAGAAATGGATTCAAAGAAAACCCTGTTACATACACTTTCCGAGGATTTCGTTCTACAAAGAGTGAGACAAACCACAGCTCCCTTCGAAACATCTGGAAAGAAACAGTCCCTCAAACTCTGAGGCCTCAAACAGCAACTAACTCTAATAATACAGACCTGTCACCACAAGGAGTTACAGGCCTGGAGAATACACTTAGTGCCAATGGAAGTATTTACAATGAAAAAGGTACTGGACATCCAAATTCTTACCATTTCAAATACATTATCAATGAGCCTGAAAAATGCCAGGAGAAAAGCCCTTTTTTAATACTGCTAATAGCTGCAGAGCCTGGACAAATAGAAGCCAGAAGAGCTATTCGGCAAACTTGGGGCAACGAAAGTCTAGCACCTGGTATCCAAATCACACGAATTTTCTTGTTGGGCGTAAGTATTAAGCTAAATGGCTATCTTCAACGTGCAATACTGGAAGAAAGCAGACAATATCATGACATAATTCAACAGGAATACTTAGATACATATTATAATTTGACCATTAAAACACTAATGGGTATGAACTGGGTTGCGACATACTGTCCACATATTCCATATGTTATGAAAACTGACAGTGACATGTTTGTCAACACTGAATATTTAATACATAAATTACTGAAGCCAGACCTGCCTCCTAGACATAACTATTTTACTGGTTACCTAATGCGAGGATATGCACCTAACCGAAACAAAGATAGCAAGTGGTACATGCCACCAGACCTCTACCCCAGTGAACGCTACCCTGTCTTCTGTTCTGGAACTGGCTATGTTTTCTCTGGAGATCTGGCAGAAAAGATTTTTAAAGTTTCTTTAGGTATCCGTCGTTTGCACTTGGAAGATGTGTATGTAGGGATCTGTCTTGCCAAGTTGAGAATTGATCCTGTGCCCCCTCCCAATGAGTTTGTTTTCAATCACTGGCGAGTTTCTTACTCAAGCTGTAAATACAGCCACCTAATTACCTCTCATCAGTTCCAGCCTAGTGAACTGATAAAATACTGGAACCATTTACAACAAAATAAGCACAACGCCTGTGCCAACGCAGCAAAAGAAAAGGCAGGCAGGTATCGCCACCGTAAACTACACTAGAAAAGACAACTTTTTTTCAAATGTGCAATCTGTAAATATTGCTAAAAGCATGTATAATTAAAATTGATTATACCCATAGGACAAGTTTTAGTTAAAATTCATCACATAAAGGAGTTCAAAAATTATTTTTTTCATTTCTGGAAAAGGTAATTCTTAAAACTACAACATTATATGACAAAAAAGTATCCCAAAAGAATCTATAAAAACCTGTGTAAGGGGATTCTGTGTATTAACATGCAATAACAAGCATGCATAAATTAACAGTTCAAGCTCCATGTTAGGGGCCAATAAAACATATTTGCATATATTTTCCACATAAATTTTAATTTAAAAAATGAAGATAGTCAAAAGACTCTCCATTTTATATTTAGCTTTTTGTTTTAATACATAATTAAGTGTAAATAAAACATTAATATCAATTTTAAGGAAACTTTGTAACTGAGCAAAGGACAAATTTTCTGACCTGACTATTCTAGGGTTCTAAAAACTGTATTCCATGCAATAAGATTTAGTTGAGTTATTCCATAAATACATTCATAAAGCTCAGATGTTTCGTCAATGCACTTCTCATCAAAGTATTTACTTTTTGAAAGTAATTGAAATATTCATTTTAATTTCCTTTATCAATCCACATATTGGGGGAAATTATTTTGACATGATGTGGTAAAATGTAAAAAATGTGTCTCAGGCTCAAGTTTTTATAAAAAAAGTTATTAAATGTTTCAAAATAGACAAACTGTTTCCTCATTGGTGTTAAGGGCCAAACTAGTTTTTCAATGAGTTATTCAATTAGATCAATCATTGCACTCCTAAAGAGTATCACCATTTAACTTCAAGTATATCTGACTTCAAGTACATCTACAAAAATAACTGAAGCAAAAGCAATCACCTAAAGGCACAAATAGGTTGTATTGCTGAAAAAAAAAACAAAGAGGGCAGGTGCAATTTCATTCAATACATTTTTAAGATGCATGTCTGCCAAACTGCAACATACGGGAAGTTTATTTCCTGACAGCAGGGGTACAAATGCCAATACTTAATCGTTTTATGGCACCTATTTCTTTATCTGAGTGCCGAGTTTACAAACCTGTAGTTTTTAATTTGGTAGATGACAAATATTCTGCATCACCAGTTAAAAACCTTCCTGGGAGGGATGGGGGAAACTACAAATGTTTGATGAACACTTGATTCTAGGATGAACAATGTATACAATGGACTTTTATCAAGTTTTTAATAAAAAATGGTAAACAAAAAACTTTACTGAGTGTTATAATACAAATATTTTCACAGTAATTTTGTTTGGCTCCATCATAAATTTTCAAATCAAGAAATACCAACCCAGTAACTTTAAAATAGTGTTTTTATTCTATATAAGTATGTAAATTTATTCATCTTAATTTAGAATGTTTCTTAGTCTAATAATAATCATTTTTATCCCTGATTCTACTATGAAGGAATAAAACACGAGAACAGAACTGTTAACATCTGTTAAGGTAGAAAATCAAAAAAACTATTTAAGTACTTATTTACTATGTTGAATTCTATTAACATTCAATTTCTCTCTGACTTTCAAATCAATAGCCTAAGTGTTCTATTCTATTATATGTCCAGTAATCCTGAAACCTGATATATAACACCCCCTAGTTCTTGGTTCAAGTCTGTTTCTCTCTCACTCTATATGATTACAGAAACATCAAAATCACTAAATAAAAGTTACACTGAGAAGGTAACACCAAATTAGATCAGTAAGTTTGATGAAAGACAAAAGGAATCCTTCTCTCAAGGTAATGTTTTCTGATTTATACTTCAGAAGTTTAAAAAAAAAAAGGAGTATTTATGTGTGTGTGTGTGTGTGTGTGTGTGTGTGTACACAGAAACAAGAACCCAAGTGCTATTTGTACAAATTATGATTATAGTGCAGGATCTTTCAAGATAGTAATTTCCTTCTGGAAAAATTCAAGTTTAAAAAAAATTGGCTTATGAAAAACAGATTTTTTAACAAACACCTAAATTCCTCCTATCTCAGGTATCAATTTAAAATCATTTCTATATTCCTAATAATACTGTCTTGGAAAATAATGATAACCTTATGACATTCTGAGTCCTCAAAGGGGTCTGGATCAAATAAAGTCTGAGTACTGTTGAAAATCCTTATTTTAAAATAAATATTCTACTATTAATTTATTTTTGACTTTTCACTCTCAACAATATGCAAGTTGATTTCTTGAGCAAAATGCTCAAGATAATGTATTTAAACATCTCACCACTTTTTAATTGTGCCTTCTTCATCCCAGTACTATGTAGTTTTTGCAGACATAAAAATATAAAATTAAATGACAGTATTACCATTTGGTAAAAGGAAAGATTACAGCAACAACTATGTAATTTTTTGCTCAAAGTGTTAATAGGTATTTTAGAAGATGAAAACACCAAAAACCTTCAATACTTACAACACTAGTTTATTTCAATCAAGGTTTGAAGTAATGAAATTGTAATTCGACCAAATAATTTTTTAGATTTCTCCTCACTTCATTGTATATAGCATAATCACATATAATCTCAACTGAAATTTTATTAATATCTATTTCCAGCAAATCCTTCAAAAACAGTACCAATAGCAGCAGCACAGTCAGCAATTTACTGTGTAATAAGCAGTGTGACTGTACTGTATTAAAACACTTCACTTGCTACATTACTTCTGCCATATAAAAAAAAATAAAATAAAAAAAAAAATAAAACACTTCACATATATGATCTCATATAATCCTCATAAACAACACTAAGAGATAAAAAAGAAAGATTCATGGGAGAGGTTAAATATCTAAGATCACACAGCTAGTAAAGCAGCAGGTTTCCATTTCAAAGACTATGTTCTTAATAATTATGCTGTTCTGCTACATATTTCACATATGACAGTTGCTAAAAGTCTAAAGAGCTAAGCAAAACGGGCCTGTGCCTCTATTCTCCCACTCTCTGCTTGTTCTTCATCCTTTGCCAGGGCCTCCAGGCTTCACAGCCATTTTCACATGATGGAAGGGCACCTGAGGCGCAAACAAAGAGAAGGAAAAGGGGAGAATATCTGATCCCCAGGTTATTTTTCTCTTCTTTTCAGTTGTTTATAAATGGTAACCAGAACCTTTGAAAGGCATGTGCATTACTTGCTTATCTCTTGCTACTTAGGGCCCTAAGGTACATCTGTAAACACAGACAAGTGGCACTTAAAAAATATAAAATGTGGTTCCTTTAAAGCACAATTGATAATTTTTAAAAAACAAAAGTGGCACTACATTTATTCATCCTACTGTTATTCACCTACTGTTTTGCTATGAGGTGGTAAAGCCTGTTTAGCTTATTTAGATAAAATTTTTTTCCTGTTTATCTAAGAAATTTCACTATTTAAATTTATCTAGGTTTTAAAAGCTCCTTCCCCCAAAATCCCTATCTAAATATATTTCTAATATACCTCAGAGAATGTCAATGTGGCATTACTCCCATAAAGCAGGTAATGTACAGCAAATATTAAAATGGGACAGAATCCCTACCACCAGCAAATTTTACAACAATACAATTGTTCCTAGCTCCTGTGAGGATTCCATAATGTTCTGTAAGACAATGCCCTCTGTGTGCCCTGCCAATTGAACAAATCAGGGTGCGAAGGGATCTAAGAACAACTTCTCCGTTAAAGACCAGCTGAAGATTTCATTATCTGTTCATAATCAATATCCACAGCAAGCCTCAGAAAAGCAAAAAAGAGCTTGTGTATACAACATAATGGAGCTGAGACTATGTTGCAATAAATGCCTTATTATTAGGAAGAGATCAGGGAAACAAGAGTTTGGGGCTTGTGTTCCTAAAGTCGTGCCACCATGAAGGAAGGCCAACATATCCCCAAAGTAACCACAAAGATGATGGTCTGGGCCTGATATAATGTAAAATGTTGTTGGAGCCTAGAAATTAATGAACAGAAAGAACTAGCCCATTGTTTCACATTTGCTTAAAATTTGTTTAAAATTGCATTCCTTTGGCCGGGCATGGTGGCTCACCCCTATAATCCTAGAACTCTGGGAGGCCAAGGCAGGAGGATGGCTCGAGGTCAGGAGTTCGAGACCAGCCTGGGCAAGAGCGAGACCCCGTCTCTACTATAAATAGAAAGAAACTAATTGGCCAATTAATATATATAGAAAAAAAAATTAGCTGGGCATGGTGGCACATGCCTGTAGTCCCAGCTACTCAGGAGGCTGAAGCAGGAGGATCACTTGAGCCTAAGAGTTTGGGGTTGCTGTGAGCTAGGCTGATGTCATGGCACTCTAGCCAGGACAACTGAATGAGACTGCCACAAAAAAAAAATATATATATATATATCACACACACACAAAAATTGCACTCCTTTATCAGAGATCTGGTTGTATTATGACAAGGTTAAAAAAAAACAAAACAATAGCTACAGCCTTTTTCCTGACAGAAGAGAATGTCTCCTATACACCTAAGAGAGAAAGCTAATAACTGGGCAAAAAAAAAAAAGATGAGTAAATATGAATTTTACAAAAATAAAATAAAGCTTGTAATTAAAGTTTGTAAGCAAAACTTCTAATTTAAAGTACAGTTATTCCTTGTTATCTGGGGGAATTGGTTCTAGGACTCCTTGTGGATACTAAAATCCACAAATGCTCAAGTATCTTATATATAATGGCAAAGGGCCGGGAGTGGTGGTTCATGTCTGTAATCCTAGCACTCTGGAAGGCTGCAGGCGGGTGGATTGCTCAAGGTCAGGAGTTCAAGACCAACCTGAGCAAGAGTTGGCCCCTTCTCTACTAAAAATACAAAGAAATTAGCCGGCCAACTAAAAATATATAGAAAAAATCAGCCGAGCATGGTGGCACATGCATGTAGTCCCACCTACTCAGGAGGCTGAGGCAAGAGGATCGCTTGAGCCCAGGAGATTGAGGTTGCTGTGAGCTAGGCTGACACCATGGCACTCTAGCCCAGGCAACAGTACAAGACCCTGTCTCAAAAATAAATAAATAAAATGGTATAGGGTTTGCATATAACATATGCACATTCTCACATATGCTTCAAATAATCTCTAGGTTGCTTATAATACCTAACATGATGTCAATGCTATATAGTTGTAATACTGTGCTGTTAGGGAATAATGACATGCAAAAAAGTCTGTACATGTTCAGTACAAATGTTTTTGGGTTTTGTTTTTGTTTTTTAGTATTTTTGATCCACAGTTGGTTGAATCCACATGGAACCTATGGACACAGAGGGTCAACCATATTTGTATGTCTGCATGAATGTCTGTAAGTATATGAACATTTAAAAAATATATATATATAAACCCAAGTTATCTTCTCTGATCCCCAAATTTAATACTTTTTCAGCATTCCTCATCTCACTGAATGGCTAATGCCAGACAACTGATCACAAAGGAATACTAGAAATCACCTTCCATCTATCCCGAAGACCTGGATCCTTACTGGAAGCTACCTGCTTTCTTCATCTTACCCCTCTAATACAGCATCTCTCACTTTTGAACTACTACAATACCTTTATAACAAGTTTCCTCATAGCCACATAATCTGTTGCCAGTATTACAGCCCAAACGGTACTTTCAAAACACAAAGTTGTCAAGCACAATGGCTCACGCCTGTAATCCCAGCACTTTAGGAGGCCAAGGCAGGAGGATTACTTAAGGCCAGGAGTTAGAGAACACCGTGAGCAACATTGCGAGATCCCATCTTGACAAGGGGAAAAAAACACACCCAGGCATATACTCTACTTCTAGCTACTTGGGAACTAAAGCAGGAGGATCACTTGAACCCAGGAGTTTGAGGCAGCAGTGAGCTGTTATGCCACTGTACTCCAGCCTAGGCAACACAGCAAGACCCTGTTTCAAAATAAAAACAACAACAAAAAGCTGTTCATGTCATACACTGCTTCAATAGCTTCTCAATGCACTTAGGATAAATACCAAAATCCCTAAAACCCTTGGCCAGCTACAAGGCTCATAAATGATTATCTTCCTTGTTAAGGCTAATCTCTCAACCTAATCTTTTGATCCCATATCCATCTTCTACCTCATTCTAAATTATTGTCTGTCTCCCTCAAGATTGATTTTAAAAGCAAAAAACAAAAAAATCCTGAATGAGGAACAGTGAACTAAAATCTGACTCAATAAAACAGTCTCACACTTTTGTTTAAAGGAAAGTTTTTATGGTATCAAATAAAATTCTCTCTGTAGTGAGAACAAGTATAAT